CGTTGACGGCCGAGGCCCAGGACTCGTTCTTCCCTTATGATCCCATCAGCGGGGAGTTCATGCGCTCTTTCTTTCCCCATTCCAATGAGAATGAGAACTGGGAATCTTGAATACACTTATCGCCTATACTCATGAATTCCTTCATATGAAACCACAACATATCATATTGGCTTTCACATATATTGATTGCCCTTTAGCCCACATCATCATCCATGGATATCTGGTCTGCTTCGTAAGATCCCATCGTTACCAGTATGCCTAGGAACCCCCTTTTTATTCTATTTGTATCCCTATCCCTATATTTTTCATTCCTGCTCCTTTCTACCCATATCTAACCATCTTAACTTCTTCACTTCACTTCATGTCTATGTGATGTGCTGTCCATTTCCTTCATCTCTATCCCCATTTTACGAACTCCTTTCCCTTTGATCTACCATCAATATCTCTTTGCATCGCAAATATGTTTATAATAGTGCCTCGAAAGCGATATCCAGATGATATCCAGAAACAACAAACAACAAAAGGCATGGTATTTCTTCAGATCTATGATTGATATTTGCATTGAAAGCATCTCGAGGATCCAGGCTGTGTCTAGGTCCAGAGCTGGACTCACAACGGGCATTTTGAGCGTTTGGGATTGATATCTAGTTGGTGCTGGGTGTTTATCGGCGTTGAACTGTAAGACTATGATATTCACATCTTGTTCTCAACAACTTCTTCCCTTTCGGTGCAACCAGTACATTGTAGAAGGAATATCTAATCGGAAGAACCGTCTTACCTCAATTACACAGCCTATTTCTAATTGCCATGGAGTGAGGGGAAAAAAATAGTATATACATTCGAGAATATTTTTTACTTTGAAAATAAAAATACATACAAGACAGGATCAATGAGAAAAGAAGTCTCTCCCACATCCTAGATCTTGTGATTATCATAAGGCCACTTCGGCTCTGGCTCCGGTGCCGGCTCGGGCTTCGGCAGAGACTCCGCCAATTCCTTCGGCCAGTGAGATCTCATGAAAGGATCGGATCTGTTGTACTTGATCCGCATCCTAACAGGTCTGCGTGTGGGCGAAGAAAAGACCTTTCGGAGTTGCATGCGGCGCATGTGGCCAGGGATCTCGATGTCGACCTGGTCTTCAGGGAGACCGAATTTGAGGAAAGTCTCGAGACAGAAGTCTAGAATGGACTCGAGCTCTGTTTGTGGCATCTTGCCGGACTTTAATTGGTAGGGGTATTCCTTGCGGGAGATGGAGGGTGTATATGGAATGGTGGGATCGTAGATGAAGGGGGAGGAGGAAGAGGTGTTGTGAGGATCGGTGGTTTTTGCTCGGGGTATAGTAGGACTGCGGGGTTGTTCGTCCGTTGCTTCGTTCACGCATGCTGCATACTCTCGGACGGCACTTCGGGCGAGGATGCGGACGGTGTTGAGATCTGCTATCGTGGCTTTGCTTCGGACATGGTTGACGTAATCTGCGTCCCATCCTGGGGAACCGTGGGAATTGGCCCGTTCGTCGCTGAATAGCAGCCGGGCAACACCGCCTGGAGACTGGAGCTGGCGCTTGGGAGATACCCAGTCAACACAGACTTTATCCCAGAGCTGCTTGCCGGCGATAGCGCCCTGCGTTTCCACAACGGCAGCGAATATCTCGTGAAAGGTGGTTGGGGGGATCAAAGTGGCCTTGTGGTGTCCGGTGATTTCCCTGGGTGCCTCCACTTGTTTGAGGATCTCCGGCAGAGGACCTGGGATGAGGGAGAGCACACGGTGCATACGAGAAAGTGTTCGAAGCTGGAAGTTCCTGACCTTCTCACGAGTGTAATTAGCCTGCCACTCGCCGCGAAAAAGACGGAGCAAGATGTCCGTGGCCTGATTCAAGTCCTCTGTATCTGCCTCAGTCAGGGTGCCAGCAGATGCCTTATGTTTAACGGTGGCATCGAGCCGAATTACTGCGCTTGCCAGCACACCGATATTGATGTAACCCCAAGATTTGGCTCGGTGCTCGGTCAGGAAGTTGAGCATCAGCACCACGCGCTTCCAATCTTTTCGTGCGACACTGAAGTTGATCAACGATTTAATGGTGTTCACAGAAAGAGGAATCGCGAGCGACCCAATGACACGCTCGCCGAGCTCGACATTAGCGGTGGCAGCCGCAAATCGAAGAATAGATGGCGCTAGGGCCTGGTTTCTATACGCGCTTTGAGGGATGGCAGGGCCATCGATGTCATTGTCCAGGAGTAGTTGTTGGCCAAAATCAAATGCGCGGGTTGTAGTCGCCACGTCAAGGAGATTGGCAAAAGTGGCGCAAGACAACTGCGGGATAGACGACTGAGAGATATCTTGAGGTTCAAAAGACTTGAAATCAAACAAAAAAGAGGCTTCTTCATCGCTAGCTTGGCTCATCCGCTCAAAAAAGTTTTGGATGTGCTGTGCCTTGCTTGCATCGGAAATATTTTGGAGCCAAGCATACTCGTGGAAAAGGCGTCCGCTTTGCTTGTCCCGAGCATAATAATTGAGATTGAATTCGATCAGGCCAGTCATGGCGGCCGATTCATCATAGAATTGCGCCCGCGTTTTTCCATCCAACGCTTGTGCTAGATTCAACTCATCCCCTTCCCATGGAGGAACAACATTGTTCTGAGACCTTAGAAGATGCTCGAAGGAAACAGGATCCTCTGATGGTTTTAAACAGCCCGATGCCAATATCCGTACAATGTGCCAATTGGTGAACCTGTTTGTTGGTCGAAGCTCCTCACGGCTGGGCACGGGAGGATCAATAAGTTTGGTCAGGGGAGCTGATAAATTGGCAAGGTCCTCAGGAAGATATCCACGATCTCCCATGCCAACATAGGCTTTGTTCGCCAAGCCACTCCGAAGCGATGCAACCACTTCAGAGCTGATAGTTCGGAATCCAAGTCCATTGAATGGTGCTTTGTCCTGACCCTTGAGTGTCGGAGGTTTCTCGTTTTTCCCTGGCCGACGCCATGATTGCTCGATACTGACATTAGTTTGCTGTACTGCATCAAGGTCATTTATTAGAGGCGCCCAACTCTCGGCCTTCCATTCGCTAAGCCGGGCCATTTGATGTACCAGTAGTGTGCCCGTTCTGCAAAACCCATGCTCCACACAACACCATAGAATGAGCTCAAGCCATATTTCGGGGCCCAGCTCTCGGATTCCCGGCGTATAAGGAATGAAAGGTGATGGCTCTCCTGCATCGGCGGCCGCAGCGGCCACTGCTGTTTCATGTTCATGCCACGCCGCGTCGGACAGAACGCTCATTATGGAACTGGACAACAAATGGAGTGCTGGCGGGCGGAACACAATCTGGCTGGCATCTGGTTTCGGATATTGATAAACTCTGTCAGAGATCATGCCAGCATGGTGTAAACGGGCAAGAGTTCGGAATACACAGGACATGGCATTCTTCGAATCATCTGACCGACTGCGTGCAGCATACAATATCAGAGAGCCAAGGTTTGCGAGTACTTCAGCCAAAATTCTCTCTCCAAAGAATCTCGGTGCAGGTTCCACCGTCAGAGTATCAAGAGAAATGTTATCTGATGAAAGAGGTTCTAGACGAGACCATTTCCAAGGGGATGTTGATTTTGTGCCTCCCGTGAGCTTGCTGAGAGAGACCACTTCGGTGATGGGAGACACCAAGTCAGATGTTGACTCGTCTCTGCGGCGTACACGAAATGGTCTGTTCCAATCAAGCCCAGGCGAAGGGTGCGTAGGAGGCATATGAGGAGCTAGCAATTCATAGGTGTCTATCATGCTGTTCAAAAGAGCCTGTACATTAGACCACTCATGGTGCGCAAATCCGAGATGCGCAAGGAGGTGAAATTCAAAATGAATCCTCCCATCCCATAGACACCCCAGTAGAGCATGGGTTCGGTCAAGCTCACGTTCAGATTCGCGGAGTGGTCGAAGCCGCCTGGGTTGGCCTGCAGTTTGGGCGACGTCTGGTGGTTTGGCAATTTTTGGTGGAATACAATCCCTCAGCACGGGCATCCATTCCTCAATATGTCTCTTCTGGTCATGCCTGAGGCGAGGGTGTTTAATTAAATTGTATCGGCGTAGAAAAAGAACTTCATCTGGGAAATTAATATCTCTTTGGTCATTGCGCGTCTTCCGGGTAAATTGAGTCCAAGTCGGCCGGGAGAAAGGAGACACGGATCGATATGGCACGAAAGGGAGGCGTGAAGCAGCTGGCCTGCGACCGAATGGCAGGATGCGGCCGGGGCGCAAGCACCTGCTCATGGTACCGCAACGAGGCTTGAAGGCGGATGTATAGGTTTCGCGATCTCGGTGGGTACGGGCTTGGCGTGATACATGTCGATTTCACAGGTACATCGCAGGGTATTCAGGAGATTCAATTGAACCCCGTACCAACAGGGGCGGATGAATAAAGATGAGGGAAATGAGGTGAATGTTGTTTCGAGAATTTTGGAGATCAGGAACCGCTGAGTCAGCGCCGAGCTACCAGCCAATCGGAGGCCACAGAATGCGGAGTTCCTTATACTTCCAACGCAGACATGTCTATATTGTCAGGGGATTCTCTCCTATTTGGATTTAACGATATATATATAGTTAGTGCATTGTCTGTTTATTGAGCTCTGAGTCACCCGTGGACGATATATGATGCTTAAGTACAGAGAGTTCTAGGAGGGTTCTACGGCGACCTCAGGACTGTGACGAACGCCCTAATATTTATGACTATCAGTATCTACCCACATTATTACTGGTCGAGAGATATCCACTTCACTTCTATGGTTGATATAGGTTTTAGATATTTGAGAAGATCTAATACGAGCTGCGGGGATATGCCGTGTTCGAATCTAATAATAATTGCATTGTTTTCGCTAACGAGCTATCGATAAGATATATAACGCAAGCAGCCGACCCTGGGATGGGGTCGACACCCAATAACGATCATACCTTGGGTTCCCATAGACCATGATGTAAGTTAACCATTTAGCCAATTTGCCATCCCTCAGCTATCAGATCATCAATGTTAGCACTAAGACAATTTCTCCCCCATCATAGGGATGGAAGAACCCGGTGACTGCGCCATCATCGCAGTTAACAATCGGTGCTCCACAGACACCGTCAGTAATAGGTCCATCCACAACTCCCCAAATTGCCCGCAGGGTAAATGACTGCCACTGTTGAAAAGGAATTTTGGGGTGTCCAGGCGGGCGCACGGGCTTCTCATCCCGTCTCGCGAATGCACACAAGTTTAGCAAGCCTGAGCTCATACCGTCCACTTCAGCCCACGACCCTTGCTTGATATATGCGCCTGCCAACAATGCCCGCGGTGGTTCTGCTTGAAAATAACAAGTGTTTCTGAACTTCGCAGACACGGCAGGGGTCATTTTGACGAGAGAAATGTCTAGCTCAGGTCGTGTGTCGATCACATCTCCGATCTTTTGGTGGTTAACATATGGATGATAAACTTCGTCAGAACAGAGGAAGGCGTGGTTTGCGACAGTTAGGGCCTCTTCTCCCCGTAAATTGCGGAGTTTTACTCCGGCAGACGAGGCGCTAGTCGTTGACTCATAACGGGAGCCTGGCAAGCCATAGCCAGACTCTACTCGGCAGCCAGGAGAAAGAAATGACTCTTGAAGGTAATTGTAACGGTCCTGAGGTAACGGCCCGAAGGTGGTTACATGTTGACTCGGATCAAGGTGTTGGGCCCGGGTAAGATTTCTTGTGGTCTCGTAGAAACGGGGTTGTGAATGATGATAGAGCGCTGTACGTCCAGCGATGACTCCCGGGAGTGAGTGGGGTTCGTAAACACGTCCATCTCCACATTCGAGCTCCACAACAGTCCACGAAGGCAGATGCACAACCGCACGTACATTGGCAAGCGGTTCGAGTGCTTCGAGAAAGGCGACGCTGTCCGCATCTGTGGGAAATTCCATTAGCGGCCAGCGTAGGTAAGGGCAAGGGTCCGGCAGTCGTGGGTTGGGATAAGGCGCCTCGGGGAGCGGCTCAAAAAAAGTTTCGCCAGTTCTAACAAAAATCACTGGCATACACCCTAGTGTAAGGGGAACCGGCTTTGGTGGGTTGTCGGTCTCAATACAGATGAACCAACCAGACTTTAAGAACTTTCCATTACCGAACTTCTGATGAATCCACTCGAATTCGTTTCTCATCGGTGCACGATATCGGCGGTTTGTTTCATCCCACAACGTGAAAGGGGCATTGTCATTCATGTGTCTAGCGCCCCAGCCACCTGGGTCTTGCCATCTTTTGAGCTCCGGGTGAGCATGCGGCGTGACTAGACTGATATGTTGGGTTACTGATCGCACACGAAGAGGGCTTGTTGGGGAGTCTGTGTAGATGTCGACCCATGGGGAACTTTCCTGGATGTGTTGAACCTGAGAGGATGAGCGGACGGCCATGATAGAAAATCTGTTTTGAAGAGGTGAAAGGAGTTGACATGAGATGAGTCGATGCAGAGTGCCAAAGGCGGTCTGACCCACCGATTTTCTCCCCAAACCTTGATTGAGCCTGAGTTCCTGTACGGGCGACGGGCGACAACTTGCCATCAGCCAGCAGTAATTTAGATCCACTCTCACTTTACAACAACTAATGTTGTAGTTATTATGGGCATAGTTAGGGACTTCTAAAGTAAACTGAATCTGAACTGAGTCTGAACCGAATCTGAACTGAGTCTGAACTGAGTCTGAACTGAGTCTGAACTGAGTCTGAACTGAATCTGAACTGAATCTGAACTGAATCTGAACTGAATCTGAACTGAATCTGAATTGAATCTGAATTGTAGAGAGGGAGTTGAAGAAGGAAGAATTCAAAATCATAGCTATACATGTTCAATACAATTGGCAGATCTCTTGGCCGCTAGTTTAGGAGTGGGTGAATCTTTATAGGGTATATCCTAATTACTTAACTAATTATTAACTATATAGATATAAGGCCATCTAACTATGTTGGAGATCCTATACCTTCGCTATGGCTTCTACTATCGCTATACTAGTTAACTAGTTAATAGTTATAGGTGGTAAGGAAGTCTTGGCCGATTCCTAAGATCCACTAACGAAAAAGCTTGTTTATAACTAGGGTCCTTTACTAACTAATCTAAATTATATTATACTGGACCTGCAGGTTTTTATCTCAAGTTTCTAGCAAGATGCCTTAATATACGGTGCTTACGTTTCGTATATTTACTACCTAGGTAGAGAAAGCCCCTCTGTTGGATAAAGTCTGACTTTGTTATTAATCTGAAAGTCATACCTAGGTATAGACAAACCCCTTTTGTTTTTTTCTGTTTTTTTCTGTTTTTTTCTGTTTTCCTCTTTTTTTTCTTTCCAATTTAATCAATGAAGATGCTCCTAGTCATTCTCCGAGATCGTAGGTTTCCCGACCACTTTTGTCCGATTGCCCACCCGCCGAATCAATCGGCCCGCCGTATCCCCGGGTTCTTCAGCCATATTCTCGTGCCCCACAATCACGAGACCATCTTGAGCTCGGCTAAGCGCAACATACTGTCGATTTCAGTCTCTCACAAATCCTATGCCCGTTTGACCCCCTGGTTGAGTTGTTAAAAAGGATGGCAAAGGCACTTCCACTCCTTTGGGAGGCACCGAGGCTTTTGACCTCGATTGCTCTCGGGTGCAAATTGTCATGTAACAAAGAAGATAGAGCACGGCGTTCTTTATCGTAGAATGAGAGTATCAAGATCTCGTTCCGCGGAACTCCGTCCCTAATGATCTGACTAACCAATCCGCAAATGAAACATATTCTGGATTGAGGACAGATGTCGAGCCTTGACGGATGTCAAACGAGGTGATCAAGTGAGAGGAAGGTGAAAAACAAAGTGAGAGGAAGTTGAAAGGGAGGAAGCTGGGAAGTAAAGGAAGTAAATTGATAGGGGAAACATACCAGCCGAGGGCTTGTAGAAGGCCGTGGAGTGGTAGTCAAAGTGCTATATATAAGTTTTTAAAGATAACAGACGCGAAAGAGGAAGATAGTTGAAGGAAGAAGGAGAAGAAGGAGAAGGAGAATAAAGATCATGAAGGTTTATATAGTACAGGTTATTTGTTTGCCATACATTATTTTACTTTATATATACCCCACGGGGTTAATATTACTTGTACATCATCATTCTTAGTCTCTAGTATCCATAGATAGGGGTAGGTATAGCAGATATGAGTAGTTAGCCTTGCATTTATACGTAGTAGTACACTTCTTCTTCATCTAGTAGTTTACTAGTTGATTAATGGGGTAAATGCTCGAAGACCTTGCCAGGTTATACCGCCGTACAAGCAGCCAAGAAATGTGTATAGTCGCAATGTTCCCAAGGGCCATAAAAGTCTACCAACGTAGTTGCAACGATGTCTCTTTTTAGCGCTTATTCTTCTGCCTTTTTGTACTGTACACTCGTTTCCTGATATTTTATTTAAGTGATAGACTTAGGTTGCAATTCAAGAATCTGTGGGCCGGGTGGTGGTAGACGGAATGTCGTAATGGACTGCCGTATAGTAGTTGGGACGTAGCGGGGCCGCTGTAGTCGAAAGGAGTTGACGGCCGAGTCCAAAGCAACAAGTCTCAAACTTGATGTTGGGGATATTTCAACTGACGGACACGATAATTACAAGCTTCACATCGCCCCTCTAGTTCGTGAGCCACCATTCTGCATATGCCCGTGGCTTGATGATCATATATCGAGTGCTGCGATTAAACATCTGGAACTTGTGGGTAATAGCTGGTGGGACGTTTGTAAAACGTATATATTTTCACCACGTCGGTTGTTTCTTCCCGATGGCTTCGACTGTATCGTTAGGAAGCGTCTTGAAGCACTCATATGGGCGACTAAATATGCCACCGGCACATAACTCTGTCATTGGTTATTACCTGCAACAGTCTACCCTATAAAGGTTCACCTACCCCTAAACTAGCGGCCAAGAGATCTGCCAATTTTCTTCAGATTCAATTCAAATTCAATTCAGATTTAATTTACTTTAGAAGTCCGTATACCCATTTTAGGAGACATTAGTTTCATTAACTTTATAATCCAGGTATTCAGACATCTTTAAGAATCGGTAGGCTTCAATTAATAACTACAACATCAGTGGGCCTAATTACTGTTGGCAATATAAACCAATGAGAGAGTTATGTGATGGTGATCCCTATAGTCGCCCGTAGAGGGGGAGGAAATAAGGGAAAGAGAGGTCAGACCAGGAAGGTGCCTATGTTGTAGGTGACATCTAGTGAAATAAGGAAGGAGCAGATTTGCTTTTCCAAATTCCTCTCCCCCGATATTGTCATTAAGTCAGGGTTTTCCATCAAGACTTTCTTTTTCTGGATATCCATCGCAGCAGTGACAGTTGCTATAAAAGCATGGTAGGTTTATTCTATAGGTCTACTAAAGAGTAACCGGAGATACACGTCCTATTCGGTTCATCCGTGGATTAGTGAAGAGTATAGAAAGATTAAAAGATTATTTATAGCCCCACGGCATACAACGGAAATACCTCGTACAATCCGGCACTATTTGTTCATGCCACGAGGCATAATGAAGTGTTGTCATAGGAGCGTTGTCCGTAACATAGATAGCAAGGGAAGGCGACGATCTGAATAAAAACTATATATTAATACGAGCGGACACAATCCATAACTGTCTCCATAGATCTGTCAAGCAAGCTTCGAAGTTTTTGTGCCCAAGAGTGGGAGCCAGAAACACAAAATTGTACTAGGAGCTCCCTAATGCCTATGTATGTTGTACGGCGCAACTAAATGCCCTTGAAGTTGAACTGGGTTCACACCGTCACCAGCAATCTCGACGGCGGTTTGGTCACATTCGTCCCGTGTGACGCTGCAGCTAGAAAAAAGCTAGTTGATATTTGTCTGCGCGAGCGAATCGCAAGACATCTTAGGTGAAACTAGAGCTTGCTATGTCTTAGGTGAAACTAGAGTTTGCTATGGAAAGGTATAAAAAGACCGGCGGGATCATAAGGGGTCTCCGGTGGGGGCTGGCTTATGCAGTCTTAAGTACTCCGTACATGTGCAACTTTGAACATTGCCTAAAGTAGGTTCGTATAAATTTAATTAATTATCGTGCAAAACTGAAGATCGGCTGGCCATAGCCTGATATACTATAATTCTCGGGCATGCCACCACAACTGGATCATATAGCGCTTTCAATGTTTCGATCGGCGTCACGAAATCCCTACTGTAATTTCAGATGTAAAAAAGAGAGCAAATCTCCCAACAGTAACAAAATCTGCCAGGTGTGATGAGCGAATGATACTATATCTTGTAGATTTCCAAGGCTATTACAGTAATGCTATGTTTTCACAGATTGACAGATTTACTACTCCGTACTCTACATGACACCCGGGAAAATCTTCCAATATAGCAACAATCTCTTCTCTATAGCTGATCCAGCAGCCAAGAACAAACACAGTAATGATCTATCTCACATGTTGCGCGAGCGAAGCTGCAAAGTGCAGAATCTAAAACAACATCTGGCGTGCGTGACGACGAGCGAAGTCTCCCTGCTCACTAACTGTGCCAGCAGTCGCGGTCGCGACAGGCAAAATGGTGAAGGAACCGCTAGAGGTCTGGCCACCGGAGAAGCCACCGGGGAACCCAGGGGGAACACCGGTAGACGCGGGGAATCCAGAAGGCACGGCGGTAGAAGAGCCGATGGGAGAGCTGGTGGGAGAGCTGCTAGGAGAGATGGTGGAGGAGCTGATGGACTGGAATCCATGACCGTGACCTCCGTAGCCGGGTCCGCCGTGGCCAGGTCCCTTAATACCAGACCCGTGACCAAATGCCCGAGGGCCAAAAGAGAATCCAGTTGGGGACGCAGTAGGCCATCCAGTTGGAGTACCAGATGGGGTTCCAGATGGAGTGACAGAGGGGGTTCCAGATGGAGTGACAGAGGGGGTTCCAGATGGGAAACCGCCAGGGAAGCTACTCGAAGGAGAGCCGGAAGGAGCGGCGTCAGCCCTGTTGGCGTGCTGGGGAGACAATGTCAGCAAAGAACAACCTTAGATCTATTCCTATTCGAGAATTTATAGTGTGGGTACTCACAGGCAGCTTCCAGGCCGCAGCAGACGGGGCCATAAATAAGGCAGCAACGCCAATGGCAGCAGTGACCTTCATGATGGAGTGTTGAGTTGTTGGGCGCTTAAAGTGAAAATGGGAAATGAGTGGATGCTTGTGGAAGTAATGTCAAGAAAGTCCTAAAGCGTTTGAAAAGAATGAATGTGCACAGCACTTGTAAGCAAAAAAAAGACCCTCGAGAGCAGGAAGTTCTAGCTGGTTATATACCCCTGGTGTTTCATTGTTGAGAGTCAAAGGAAAGGATTGAGCCGTTAAAAGACCGCCAAAAGACCGCCGAAACACCATTTGTTCCGTGAGAGGAGTTGGATCTGCAGGAGCAGGTCTCATCCCGTGGCGAAAAATTTTTAAGCAGGAGAGATCTTCATAGATGGGAAAATAGCCCTATCACCCCGGGTATAATATATTATGGTGGAGCCAGGATGTACGATACAGATGGTGGACGGAATGGCTGTATATTGTGCGGAGCAAGTTGTTTCAGACAAAAAGGGGGATAGATAAAACAAGCGAATGATAAATCCCCACCTTGTTGTGCACATCGCTCCTGTCGATCACTTGTGTGATTGACAAAGGAGGTGTGTCCTGCTTAGATGGAGATTGGCGGAGTCCTTGAGGGCGGCATGCCACGCCAAGGATGACTAGAAACATCTTGTATGTTGTAGTATGTTGTATACTATAACTAGTTAATGAAGAATCTAACTGGAATTTCTTTCATCCCTAGATATATTTTACTATAAATAGGTGTGATGTGAACATATCAGTAGATGTTTTAACTATTTTGCTGTCTCTAGAACAAATTGTATACTTCATATAGCTTTTTATAGATCACTTTATAACAAACTATATTGTGGAGTTCATATCGCCCAAACTCTTCGATAACCAATGTATTTCTGACATTTTAATGGATCTTTTAAGCTTCAATGGCTTGCTGTCCACTTCTGAAGAATACCAACATGGGAATGGTGTCCTGCGCTGGTCAAAGCTTGCAATACCACGCGAAGGCGATTGGGGAAGTTAGCCACACCTGCCTATATGAGAATACAATCTCTACTGACTATAATCCTGGCACAACAATTGGGATTTCATACTCACTTCAATCGAATATGAACCTGGCTTTTAGTCAAGAACAAAGTTAAATTGCATCTAGTATTCTTAAGCATGGTTGGAGATGGGTTGTTGCCAGTCTTAATGTTATAGATAACTATATAGTTATACCTAGGTAGGCTTCATAGTGGTGCTGGTCTTATTATCAGGCTGCACAAAGAGAGTGCCATGGCCTAACTGCGAGGCATATATATCCATAGGTGCAGAATCAACCTGTATGGTAGAGATAATACAGCCTTGACCGTTCCCCTCTTCAATATGTAGGGTTAATATCACTGCCGTGTATAAAAAGGAAGAAGAAGAAAAAAAAAAAAACTACGTTAAAATATCAGTAAAATGATATGTGCATTGCGCGTCCTGAACTGACCCGGGGTATTGTACATGAAACCAACACTATTAAATTGAACACCAAATCATCAAATCATGACAAAGTAACTTCAAAGCTCCTCTTGAAGAACTTCTTCACCTCCAAGCTCTTGTTCCACTTCATCGACGACAAAGCCCTCGTAGTCCTCAAGACCCTTTTGAACATGTACTTTGAAGCGAATCACGTCGTTTAGCATTGTTTCGACGTTAGTATGCAACTCCTCTCGGAGAGAATTTGCCCGAAGCGTCAGTTGTTCGTATTCGATATTGGTGTTCATCTCGCGCTGCTCCATCAATTGTACACTGTCACTGAGCGTAGCGCGCATCTTTGCCAACTCCTTCTCCATCTTCTCAATTTGGGCATCAGAGGCCAGCTTCTGAGTAGTTGTGATTTCCTTTGTTCGTTCAAATTCTTCCTCTGCTGCCCGGCGTCGATGCTCCAGGGCCTCGACCTCGCTTCGTTTCTCATCCATTGCCTCTTTGATGTTGTCGAGTAGATTGCGGCGGTCAAGGTCGTCATCGATCCCTTGCTTCCGTCGTTCATTGATCTCTTTCCGGAGGGATTGTAGGCTGTTTCGGACAGAGCCCCGTAGATCCAAACTGAGCAAATGCGCCGGGTGGTAGCCAGTGAAAGGCTCCGCCAATAGGCGATCTCCCTCGGGAGAAATTCGGTTGGGAGGGCCACCAATCTGGCTCGCGGAGAAATTGCTCTCATTAATATTGAGACTAAGTTCATAATCTTGGCCCTTCGCATTCTCCGCAGCCGCGGGGATCAAGCTAGTTTGGTAGCCAAGAGTATTGTAAGCTTTCACGATCTGTTCCAAATCTTCCAGTTTCTGGCTGGCTTCCGCTTCCTTCTCCATGACACGGGCATGCGCCTCTTCGAGACGGGCCACAGTATCTTCGAGGTTCTTCTGCAGGCGTTCTCGCTCCGAGTTCATGCGGTCGATATCCTGGATAGTGATGCCTTGGCGGTCAACACTTGCTTGTAGATCGGAACGCTCAGATTCAGTGGCCTGAAGATCGGTATCGGTTTTTTGGATCTCCGCGTCAAGGAATTTTATGCGAGTCTCGTATTTTTCAATTTTGCCTTTGACGTTCTGGTTATAATCCTCAAATTTCCTCTTGTCGTCCTCCAAAATGCGGAAGTGTTTATCCAACTTGGCGATATCAGGAGCACTCTTCTCCACCTCTTCGATTTGGTCGCGAAGAGCCCGGTTCTCCGCCTCTAGTGCGTCCATTTCCTGCACGTACCGCTCATTGCCAACGGCGAATTCTCGCGACATGCTTTCAACGTGTGGAACCAACCGTTTCTCCGCGGTGTCATCGTCCTCGTCTTCACCACCCTGCAGCCAATCGTGGTAGGCTTGAGTGAGGAAGCGGAAAATAATGCGATCACCGCTGACATCGACACCCGCCTCAGCGCAGGCATCATCATACTCGCCGGACTGATAGCGATCCATCATCTGCGCTAATTGCATCAACCAATGTAACATTCCAAGGAAGGTCGACCAGTTCTGGCCACCGACGGCTGCGATTTGTGATTTTGTAATGCCTTTCTCATACGGGTATCTTAGCTGTTTCAGGATTGGCGGTACTTCGGAGTCCATTGCTTTTTGGAACTTGTATCCTGGATCGATTCGATGATAGAGCCACTGGAAGATAAAGTTGAAATCCTTCTGGGTTGGCGAGCGAAGAGTGTTCTGCCCCAAGGAATGTTTCATTTCCAACTCGAACCCATGAATAGTCAAATACTCCAACAGTTCCTGGCCAATTCGTGCCTGGAAAGATCGGTCTCTGAGAGGGCGCGGGTCTCTGGGAACACCAGCCACGGTGGGAACTTGGGTGAAGAAAGATTGATGTCCCATCGGCCCGCCTCCCGTGGATGGTCGTGAAAACACACTGCTTCTGCGCTGTGGGTTCTGAGGAGGCGCAGGGTTGGAGGAAAGGGACCCTGGCGCATAGCTCTGTCGACTGGCACCGGCCCCACTGAACATGTTACTTGACACTGATCGGCGAACAGATGAAAGGCCGGCATCAGCGCCATATGGTCCACCAATTGACATGCGCGTGAAGTTGGGCTGTTGTGGGCGACCAGTGGAGCCCATCAAGGAATTTCGGTGGTTCTGAGAGCTGAACGGGGGGTTTTGGAATCCGATAGAGCTTGCGCGCTTCAGTGCCGACTGCGGTTGGGGGATGGCGGAGAAATTCTGCACACTCCCGAGAGTCTTGATCGCAATGTAGATTAGCGCGAAGTCTTGCGCTGGATATGGGGGAACTATACTTCTCGGGGGCGCTTAATACTGAAAAGCCCAGTATCTTGCGACATGGTGATAAACAAGCCGCGAAGGCGGCAATAGACAAGGCGATCCTTTTGACAACTGGATTTTCGATATGGTTGTATATTGACAAAAGATTCAAGGTCCAAGTGGGATGCGCCACAAAATCCGAGAGGAGGGGGTTTAATCTGGTTGTTTGGCAGGCACGAGGCGGGATTTGAATCGAAGTAAACAAATGCGTGCCACTTTTCAAATGAGGTAGGCGGTGTGGGTTTAAAAAGGAAAAACGGTTTCGCCGATAATCACGAGACTCCCGGTCTGGGGAAGTCTTGGCGTTGGCGCGAGTTCCGAGGTCCAAATGGCGATTGCCGATGGGAGCATCGCATCTCTCTCCCTAATTTATCTCTCCTACACTTCACTGGCCGCCAACATCAATCATAATGGCTCCACGCGAGGAACTGATTGCCTCAGCTGTAAGTTATTTATTGACATGATGTCTCTCTACTGTCATCCGCTTTCGGAGCTACCGCTAACTCATGTGTCCGCTAGATTACCTGTATGGATTACGAAGCACACAACTTGGTGTGTAATGATCGCTGACTTTATCTAGTCCTCCAGGACCCATCGGTTGCATCTTCGCCCATTGAAAAGAGAGTCTCGTTCCTTCAATCTAAGAACTTGACTCAAGAGGAAGTGGACATTGCCTTATCGCGAGTGGGCGAAGACCCGTCTGCCGCGGCCGCAGCTACAGCTTCGGCATCCCCAGCACCTAGTTACTCTTCACAGCCAGTTCCTTACCGGCAACCACAACCGCCTCAAGGATATGGCTATCCCCCATATAATCAATGGCAGCCGCCTCCCGAGTACGTTTACCTATCGATCGTCGCATGGTGTTGAGACTAATCATATGAAAAAGGCCACCCAAGAGAGATTGGCGTGACTGGTTTATTATGGCGACAGTCGTGGGTGGAGTTGGTTATGGGTTGTATACCGTCACAAAGGTATCTAATGGTCCCCTCCCTCAAAACCAATGGCGCTGATCAATCCATCCAGCGTTATATTGCACCTTTGATCGCCCCACCGACCCCTCCCCAGCTGGAGCAAGATAAAGAAAACATCGATGAGCAGTTCTCACGCGCATTTACTCTGATCGAACAACTATCGACCGACACTGCTGCATTGAAGACCGCCGAGGAAGCCCGTACCGAGCGCCTGGATGGGGCTCTCAAGGACGTGGAGAATCTTGTTACTGATCTCAAAAGCTCATCCCGCCGAAGGGATGATGAGACTCGTCGCATTAGTGACGAGGTGAAGTCATTGAAGGATGCCATTCCCAAGGCCCTTGAAGGTGCCAGGGAAGGCAATGAGAACCGACTGAAGGAGCTCGGAACTGAGCTCAAGAGCTTGAAGACCTTGCTGGGCAATCGACTTGGTGGTAGCGGAGCTACCCCGTTGCTGGTAGGACTATTGGATCCACTCCCATCCCCAGCATTCCTCGCCCGGCATCGGAAGAGACCCCCGCCACTTCGGCTCCTCCTGCCGCCACCAACAGCTTGGCTGCTACTGTGACTCCAGCTGAACAGGAGCCAACTCCAGCTGCTGCCCCCGTGAGCACAAGCCAGAGTCCTAACCCTCTCTCGCAGCTCGGTCGGTCTGCCTCCATCCCGGCGTGGCAAATGGCCGCGGCCAACCGGTCTAAGGTCAACTCGCAGCAAAGTACACCTGCTACCCCTGCTGAGACCACCGCTAGCCCGAGCCTGGAGCAGAGTGCTCCTCCCAGCTAAAGCTGATTTGGGGATCGCTGAATTATTGAATGTTGTATACCTCTTCGCCTAGATGTATTTATCACAATGAATTTTTTTTTACCCCTTGGATAAAATATATATTTCCTCATAATATAGAGTCTCTATTTTTTGTATACATTTGTAGTTGAAATTAACAAAATCGAGACGAAGAATGCGTTAGAATCGAAAACCCGGGGACAATCTTGGAAATCAGCTGGCCGAACCGATAAGCAGACCTGTCTTTCCTCATCACCCAAAGTCCTCCAGACTTTCCAGAACCTCTTACCACGAAGGAAATCAGCGAAAATGCCTTCACCAACTCGCTCATCGCACCGAGCCGCTTCTCCCTCTGCACCAAGCTCAAGCCGTCATCACCGCAGCCGCACCAGCCATTCCCGTCGCCACCGGCCCCGAGAGAGCTCGCGCTCGCGCTCGCGTTCTCCGCACCGGCCAGATAGACACAGACCAGACCGTCACCACCGCCATAGCGAAGACAAAGAGCGCGGTCACCACGAGCGACGACACAGAGATGCTCCAGCGAAACCGGTTGTACTCCCTTATCAAGCGCGCGAGCTCTCAGGGCGCGACCTGAAGATTTACGAGCCCATGTTTGGCATGTACTTGGATATCCAAAAAGGCAAATACATTGAAGACTTGAGCGAAGACGAGGTGAGAGGGCGGTGGAAGAGCTTTACGCAAAAATGGTAGGTCTGAGGGTGCTCTTTGCTTGACACGATAATTACTGACATCACAGGAACCGTGGAGAGCTCGCGGAGGGATGGTACGATCCCGTTACACTCGACAAAGCACGCCGGAGTGTAGAAGAAGAACCGGCAGCTGGCCCGAGAGGCGGACGCCAATCGCCTGATTATACGCAGGACCAGCGAGCGACTAGTGAAGCCCCACGGAACCCGCCAGTAGGCGACGATGATGACGATGAAGATGAGGATGATGAGTACGGGCCTAGTCTGCCACAAGCTCGATCAGGGAGAGGCGGCCCACAAGCTGGCCCTGCGATCCCAACTATGCAAGATCTTGAGCTTAAAAAAGGTACGCTTTTCTACTTCCCCCAAGTATAACCAGGGTGCTGACCTCGCCCCCTAGAATCTGCTATTGATGATGCCATCGCTGCCCGTGGTGAATCACGCGATCACCACCGCGCTGAAATTCGTTCGCATAAATCCGAAATGCGTCATCTCCAAGACGAAATTGCACCGCGGGCTGAGGCGGGTACACGGGAGAGACAGCTCGAGAAGCGGCGAGAAGTTGCTTCGAGTAACCGTGCATTTGCGGACGCACGCGGTGGTTCACCCGAGGCAGCTCGGGATGAAGATTTAATGGGCGGGGACAATGAGTTTTCTACCTTGAAACGGGAGAAGGAGAAAGACCAGCGTAAGAAGAACGATCGTGAGATCCGGAGAGAGGAGATCCTTCGTGCGCGTACGGCGGAGCGAGAAGAACGTGCACAGGCATATCGACAGAAGGAGCAGGAGACTATGAGCTTCTTGCAAGCTCTGGCGAAGCAGCGATTTGGCTGAAAGTTGAATATCTTGTATTCTTCACTATTAGATCCATAAGACAATAATATAAATATGATCTACATCCCCGTCCTCTCTCCTACTCGGCCCATCCGCTCCAACGGAACGGTCCGATACCGCCAGCGGAGCGACTCCGAGGTATTTAGACCATAATTATACGGTCTCCCCTCAAACAATACTCAAGTTACTATAAGCCCAGCATGTTCAAACAACTATCTCGCCTACCGTGTCGGTCAGGATTGACCCCATTAGCACCTGGTAGCCGGCGATATCTCCAAACCAAAAAGCAACACTCCCTACCAGCAGCATACTACCGCGGGGGCACCTCACGCGCAGTCTTCTTCAAGCAAGAAGACCTACCCTCGGACAGAAAAGACTGGGCCCCGATATTCCGCAGTGTAATCGGCAGTCCAGATCCCCATGGCCGACAACTAGACGGATTAGGGGGTGGACTATCCAGCCTCTCGAAAGTGTGCGTAGTCGGCGCATCGACACACGCCGAAGCCGATGTCGATTACACCTTCATATCCCTCGGCATCAAGAACACCGATGTCGACTATTCCAGTAATTGTGGGAACATGAGCTCTGCCGTCGGGCCCTTCGCAGTCGATGCACACGTGTTCCCCTTACAGAACCCCAGCCTAGATTCAGCCTCGGTACGCATCCACAACACCAACACCGGCAAGATCATCCATTCGTCCTTCCCTGTTGTTGACGGCGAAGCTGCTACCAGCGGGGACTTCGCTATCGACGGTGTCGCTGGTACAGCTGCCCGTGTCCAGCTCGACTTCATTAACCCCGCCGGCTCGGTTACGGGGAAACTCTTGCCTACTGGAAATGTCGTCGATACCTTTGATGGGATTAGGGCTACGTGCATCGACGTCGGCAATCCATGTGTCTTTGTGCAGGCGGTTGATCTCGGCGTGAATGGGAATTTGACTCCTGATGAGATCACTGCTCATTCGGATTTGCTCGCGCGCTTGGACTCTATTCGTCGGCAGGCGGGTGTTAAGATGGGTATTGCGGATGACATTGGGGCGGTTCCGGGTAGTGTGCCCAAGATCTGTATCGTGGCTGCCCCTTCTACTACCGATTCCAGAGATATCGAGCAGAAACGGACGTCTGTGGATGTTGATCTTTTGGCTCGTGCTCTTTCGGTTGGACAGCCGCATAAGGCGGTCCCGATTACTGTTGCTTTGGCTCTTGCTGCTGCTGCTTATGTGCCGCAGAGTACAGTGGCTGGTGTTGTGAATGAGAATCTCGTCGACAGTGCTGGTATTACTATTGGTCATGCCAGTGGGAATCTGTTGGTTGGTGCCGATTTCGATGTGGATGGGGCATTAACTTCTGCCACAGTCTTTAGTACAGCGCGTCGTTTGTTTGAGGGCCGTATTTTCTGGAAGAATGACAGTTGAGCGAGCGAATGGTCTTTACTTGGTAGGAGACTATGTAGATAAACGGGCAAAACAAGTGCCACGAAGAGAAGAGCAAAGACCTGAGTATATGAGATGTCCAAATCAAAACTTTTATTCTTGTATATCACAAGTGGTATATCTACATCCTCTATTCTAACCCCATCTCTAAGCACGTCTCCCGAGATCAATATCAGCAACCAGTTTCATATCATCAGTGCCAGCCCCATCACCCAATCCAAAGAACGGTTTGACAGCAACATCAACCACCTCTTCAAACAAGCGCCCAACAACAGCCTCCTTTAGATCCTCACCAGTCTGCGCGAAATCAGGGTACGCGTTGAGCTCCAGCAGCCACACATCCCCAGTAGCATCAACGAGGAAATCAACACCAAACAACTCAAACGCATTAGGCAGAGTCTGGAAATGAATCATCATACCCCGAGCGGCAGCCTCAAACACCTCACCCGTTACCGAGCAGATCTGGTCGAAGATCTTCTCCTTCCAGTCTGTACTGAGACCAGGGACGTGATGGTCAAGGTCCCAGAAGCGACGCACACTGCCTTCGTTTGAGCTACCGCCTTCCTGGAAACAGGTGTTGGTCAGATGGCGCGCAAGGTCGGCGACGTCGTCTTCTTCTTCGTGTGGGGCGCAGTAGGCCTTAGCAGCGAAGAGCGCAAGCATCTCCTTGAAGACGTAGACCTTGAGCGAGCCCGAGGCGAGGACGTAGGTGCGAATGTGGAATTTTCTGTTTGAGGACGATGGGAGGAGAAGGGGAGGGTCGATGTAAGGCTGTGCGAGGAAGTGGCGGAGCTGCGAAGTGACGATGCCTGTGTCTAGGGCAGCGCTGCCATCGGCTTCTGTGCCGTCGTCGGCGTTCGCCTCAGATCCGCTTTCGTCGTCTGAGTCTTCTTCCCACTCCTCGAAGATCTCGCGTAGCTGGTCTTCGCTGTTGAAGATGCGAATTCCCTGGCCTCGGTCACTCATGCCGGGCTTGAGGATCCACCATTCCTTTTCGGAGTCGGGTCGCTCTTCGTTCTTGGCTAGACTGTCGTTCAGCTCATATGCTTCTAGCAGGGCGTCGTCGAGGAATTCGGCATAGTCAAGTTCGAAGTCGAAGGCGGGCTTGAAGTGGCGTCGTAGGATGCTATCCGGGTGTTTTGAGATCCAATTGGCCACCGTGTTTGAGAGATAGTGTTTGCGAATCAAAGCTTTTCGGATGATGTATGCGCTTGAAAGAGACGTCAAGGACCTGGACATGATATGTTCGAAGTCAAGGCGCTCATATTCGCGGTACTGGAAAAGTGGTGCGGAAGAGTCTGGTAGTTCGGATACAGAAGACACACGCTTGGAGGCACTTCCCAGGCGACGGGTCAATGCCCGGTCAACCATTTCTTGCACGTAAGAGTCATCGCAGTCGATGAGGGAGTACAATGAGGGCTGATTAGCCAATCTACAAGATCTCCGTCTATCAGAAAGGGCGCCAATACAAGAAGAAAAGCAGATCAAAGGGGAGGGGACATGGTATCTAACAGCTAAGCCAGATATCTAAAGTGCATGCAACATGTATGTTTCGGATAGAACCCTCCATGCCATGCCCCCATCATATCAAAGTCTTCACTCACAGCTTAATCTCCCCCGAGATACCGGGTGCGGGCATGAAATTGGCCTTGAGAGGCGTGACGCTGTGAAAAGTCAGTCGATGTTCATAACTAGAAGGGCATTGGACAAACCTAGTCATTTGCTCCTTGACGGTCCAGCCATCATTGCCAGGCTCGCTTTCCTCCACGCTTCGGTAAACATCCTGGAAGCTCGGAGCCCACTTGAAATGCTTGTGTTGAATTCGGGGTCCATATGCTGACTTCTCGCTATTACCGACAGTCTGATCCGGTTTCTTTCCTTCCGCCTCGCCTCCGTCGCGCAGCAGCTTTTCTTGCAAATCCGGGTCGTCTGCGGCCGTGGGATCGACAGCCTGGAAGCAACTCCCGGTCCACGTATTCTGCAGCATATCGGTGTATAAGACCTTATTCTCACTAACGCCGGGTTCAAG